GCAGCGCTATGTGTCCTCATGCAGGGTGTGCCAAGCCATAAAAAACACGTCAACGACCAAAAAGCTGGGCTGCTGCAACCCCTCGAGCCACCCGAACGACCGTGGCAGCAAGTGACGATGGATTTCGTCACAGGAATGCTAGCTGGGCCGTCCGGCAACGACGCTGTTCTCGTCGTCGTCGATCGCTTCACGAAAATGGCGCACTTTGCCCCATGCCAAACAACAATCACAGCCGAAGAAACTGCGCGCCTCTTCATCTCAACGGTCATGCGACTGCACGGCATCCCTTCAGCGATCATCAGCGACCGCAACCCGAAGTTTACGTCGAAATTTTGGAAGGAGACGTGGGCGCAGTACGGCACGAAGCTACAGTTCTCATCGGCATACCACCCACAGACGGACGGACAATCCGAGCGAACCAATCAGACCATGGAGCAGCTGATACGGAAAAACTGCCCGCTGGGTTCTCTCGCCATGTTGGAGTTCGCCTTCAACAACGCACCGTCAAGCACGACTAATCACTCCCCGTTCTTCCTGAATTACGGGATGGATCCGACGGTTCCCACGGCAACTGCTCTCAACAACCTGGTCCTACGGTCACAAAACTTTGTGATGGAACTTCAAAGCATCCGCGAAAAAGCCGCAGACGCAATTTCCAAGGCAAATTATACTTCCCGCAAATACACCGACTTGCTACGCCGGGAACTCGTCTTGACCACTGGGCAACTAGTGCTACTCGACACGAAGAACGTGAACCTGCCCGGCCCGACAAAACTACGGCCACGATTTTGTGGACCCTTCAAGATTATCAAGATGGTGACACCTGTCACCGCGAAGCTGTTGCTACCCGACGACAGGCGAATTTACGACGCCTTCTACGTCAGCCTACTCCGCAAGGTCGTGCCAGCCACGACCGACATTGCACATCAGCAAGCTGCCCCGACGGCATGACCTGTCCCGGAGCTGACTCTTGACCCTTCGAAAATTCTCGCCCACAGGGTCCGCCTCGATGCAGCTGGCCGCCACATGGATTTCTTAATCCGCTGGACTGATCGCACCAGTGAGGACGACACGTGGGTGCCATCCGCCTCGCTCGGCGCCTCGCCACTTGTTGGTGAGTATCTGGCACGCAAGCGTGTTCTGGATATTGACCGCCTTTCTTAAGGGGGGGGGGGGGGGGGGGGAGTGTAAGGAATTTTCCCGAATTCCTTATCGGGGTTGACTGCTTCGCGTACAATCCGATTTTTAGACTTCGCACGTTCGGCCGATTTCAACGCTGCCGAGGCTCCTCGCGTCGCCTTCGGCATTTCCCATCGCCAAACCTGCACCCAACCTCGCTCGCCCGAGGTTCCCTCCTAGCTAGGCTAGCCCAATATTAGTCTGTGCATTCATTGTATTCTCAGTTCATTCAGTCACAGCCTCGTTATTCGTTTACCTGCGCACTCTCTTTTACAACTCATAACAAAACCCCTGGGAATGGTCAAACTTCATAATTAACACAGTTTGAATGGTGTGGAAGAATTGTCGGAGAGGTTTGGAGAGGCCAGTTCAGCCGTGTAAGGGTTGGCCCCAGACCAAGCGACAGCCCTGGTTGCGATAAACGATGACGGATTGACCGATTCTAGGCGATTTGACTTAACAACCCACGGAGAGTCCATCGGCGCAACCGGCGCCACGGCAATCACAATCAACAGTCAATTCTAAGAAAACGAGTCAATGGCACGGCAGTGGCATTAGCGGCACGGCAGTGCCTGAGAGTGGCCAAGGACCCTCTCCTAGTGTGCGGGTCCTCGAGCGCCTCGAGCGACTTCCAAAACACGGGACTCGACCATCCCGACATCCCGCTCCTCCGCCTCCTCCGGTTCCAGTCACAAGCCTAACCAGCGCAATGCAGATCTATCCGGATGCCGGAGATGACAAAAAAAAACCTGCACACGCCCAGCCCTCTTGACGCGTCTGGCCTAATGTGAATAGTGGCGAACAATCTCACCCGAGCATCGGCTGTGATAGGCACCTTGGATAGCGTGTGCGAGAGGAAGAGGGAGAGGGTTGATGGGGGAGAAGCTGAAACAATCGAGGGCCGCATGGCGACCAATTGCAGTCCAGCAAGATCGCTCAAAGGCCCACTCGGTGGTGCATCCATGGTGTTGACATGGTTCAGGGCAAAATGGATCTGCCCTGATTGGTGAATGGATCTTGGCGCGAAATGAAGCGGAAATTTTGAGTTCATCACCAGCATATGAGTGGTACTAACTGTCAACGGGAGTTGTATGTTGGCCCCGTCCTCGCTTGGGCAGAGCCGACTTCGTGGTCGGGTGTAGGGTGCAGCCGACCTGCAGCAGTGGGCGAGTTGGTCGACGAGGTTGGTCGACCTGCACGGGGAGCCACTGCATGAGCGCCGACTTCAAAGGGCGCCAACTTCGGGTGGTCGACCTGGGAAGTCGACCAGACCTTCTGGTCGACCTGGTAAGTCGACCAGCCCTTCTGGTCGACCTGGTAAGTCGACCAGGCCTTCTGGTCGACCAAGAGTGACGTCGACCTACAGCTGGTCGACCAGGGGGCAGTGGTCGACCTGGGGAGGTCGACTGGAGGTGGCCGTCGACTTGGGAGGTCGACCGGCACATACCGGAGGCAGTGGTCGACCTGGTGAGGTCGACTGGAAGTGGTCGTCGACCTGGGTGGTCGACGGGCACGCACAGGAGCCTCTGGTCGACCTGGTTGCCCGGTCGACCAGGTTACTGGGTGACGAAGCCCTGAGGAGGTGAGCGACAGTCGCCCAGGTGGTTTTTGGTGAGGACGACCTCGGTGGTGGTATGCCGAGGTCGGCGTGGCTGATCAGAGGTAGTCGTCAGCACGTGGAAGATTTGGTGTGTGCGCTGTGCAGGTAACGAGGTACTGCACGCCAATCAACTGCGAGCACCTGCGAAGTAGGTGCGCTGCTGTCCTGCGGGAGCAACGTTGGCGCGCCGTCAACCTGCGACGTTGGCACGCCGTCGACTTTGCACTGCTGGAGCGCGGTCGACCGTGCTCCGTTGGCAGTAGACTTGCTTGCATGCTAGCTCTGATGTAGTCTTACCTTGCCAACCTGATTGTACCATTGTTGTCAACTTTCTCTAGTGAAACTCTTGCCAAATCTCCTTGTGAACTAGCAAGCAGTGTATGCACTAGGAAAACGACTAAGGAACAAGGAACGCAGAGATCACACGAGCACCCGTGCCTAGCCCGTAGTCTAGCTCCCGTTGTAGTAGTTATCTCCGCACTAACAGCAAATGCGTTACTTAGCCATATGAGTTGGAATGAATATACAATTCATTACTGTAGAGGCTGCTCCTAGCGAGGACAGCCCCGAGCAGTTCGCGTCAGTGTGGCTCGGCCTACACTTTCGCACATAACCAGTGCCGAGTCGCTCCGCACCAATCGCGACATTTCCAACCCTCGCACGTCACGAGGTTCTCGCCTAGCACGTATTCGCCCTATAAATGCTTGTTTCCTTCATTGTTTCATTATTCTGTAATTCACTCTTCATAGAAGTCTTCTACGCACTCTGTTAAAAACAACTCATAACACTTGGTATATGAGCTACTTTCCTAGCTTCCCCATTTTTCATAGTGTATTACCTCTCGGATGGGGATAGAGAAGGATGACGTGGGGTCTAGGAGCAGCGCGTTAGCCGGCCAGGAGCACGGGTAGTTGCTCATAAGGGCCATGAATTTTCAAGGCGCTCCTACAGCACCAACGGATCCTTGCCCTCGACGGTCGAGATGGACCGTAGCCTCCCTCCCACCGGGTGGCGGACAGTTTTTGATGTCGTCGCATTGATTGCGTGAGTTAACGGTGTTCGTTTTGTTATTCTCAGAGTTAATTCTGTGTAGCGAATGACGTCGGTAGGATTGTGATCGGCGCAACGTCCGAAACTGACGGAAACAAGAAGTGGTGCGAGTTGCGTCGGGACGTTGTCGACAACTGCGAGCGACAATTTCGGAGATGACTGCGTGCAGCAAGTGGCGTCGAGCGTCTTCGTCATGTTACCCGCTGGACGTCTTCGGCAACTGGCGATCGTGGTCACTGTGCGTGAAGATTTTGGAGTAGCGGCACGTGGAAAGCGTGTCAAATTATATGCATGTTATATATGTGTAGGCTGTAGTGGGGTAGCCAATATGTTGGTGTAAGGGCCTAATAAACTCAAGCTATCAGGACTTAATCAAACTTAAAACCTCTCCTCGGGGTCACCTCCAAGGGTTCCTGGGTGCCTGGTACAAGACCAGCCCCTGTCTGAGCTGTCTGCTGCTGCTTCGCGCGCAGACCTAAACCACATGCGCGCTGCCCGCTTTTGCCCCGCGCATCGCCCTTGCTGCTCGCGTCGCGCCTCGGCAGCCCGCGCGCGGCTCGCTGCTGCCCTACGCGCCGCCCTAGCTGCTTGCGCCACGCCTCGGCAGCTTGCGCGCGGCCCGCAGCTGCCCCGCGCACCGCCCGCGCAGCCCGCGCCGAGCCCGCGCAGCCCGCGCGCGGCCCGCAGCTGCCCCGCGCACCGCCCACGCAGCCCACGCAGCCCGCGCCGAGCCCGCGCAGCCCGCGCGCGGCCCGCAGCTGCCCCGCGCACCGCCCGCGCAGCCCGCGCCGCTCCTTGACAGCCCGCGCGCAGCCCGCCGCAGCCCCGCGCGCCGCCCTACCTGCTCGCGCCATGCCTCCGCAGCCTGCGTGCGGCCTGCTGCTGCCCTACGCGCTGCCTGCGCTGCCTGCGGCTGCTTTGCGCGCCGCCCTTGCTGCTCGCGCGCTCACCCTGCGGCCCCTCGCACAATCTCTCTTTGCCTGCTGCCTGTGCCTGCTGCCTTTGCCTGCTGCCTGTGCCTGCTGCCTGTGCCTGCTGCCTTTGCCTGCTGCCTTCGCCTACTGCCTTTGCCTGTACTGCGATTATGGCGACGCTTAATGTTCTCGCGTTTGAGCCTGACGGTCGCCCGATAGAGTTCGCTACGTGGCTCGATGGCCTCCAACTGTTTCTTATGACTGATGCCAAAGACGGCGTTTCACTGTTCGATCACGCGTCTGGCACTTCCGTTGCTCCTGCTGACGATGCTCCTGCTCTCGACCGCTCACAGTGGCAGACTCGCGATGCTGCTGTGCGCCTCGCTATTCGCAATCATCTGCCGATCACTGAGCGCGTGCATTTTAGAAAGCACAAGACTGCTAAGGCACTGTATGACGCTGTAGTTGCGCGCTACTCCTCCTCGGCCACTGCAGCCCTAGGGCGGCTCATGCTACCTTACCTGTTCCCAGACCTGTCCTCGTGCACCACTACTGAGGACCTCATCTCTCACCTTCGCGCTAGTGACGCTCGCTTTCGTGCCGCCCTTCCAGCCGCGTTCCGCGCCGAGAACCCCCCCCCGATGTACTTCACTCCCTATTTCCTCGTTACCCGCCTCCTTGACACTCTTAGCTCTGTCAGGGACCACTTTCTCGCCCTAGACCCTACCACTCTCACTGTCGCCGACATCGAGAAGTATCTCCTAGCAGCCGAGTAGAACATCCTCGCTGTAGGTGCTGCTCGTGGCACTCCTCGCACTCCCCTCTTTGAGGGGTGCTCCCCCTCCCCTCTTGCCCCCTCCTACGCCTCTGCTGCTGCTGCTGTCGACTTCCTTGGTGCTGAGAAGGTCGCAGCTGCTTCCGCTCCTAGTGGGAAGCGCAGCGGCTCTAGGGGAGGCAGGGACGGCAGGGGAGGTGGAGGTGGCGGTGGAGGGGGCGGTGGTGGAGGCGGCGGGGGAGGTGGAGGTGGTGGGGGTAGTCGTGGGAATGGAGGTGGTGGTGGGGGCGGCGGTGGTACCGGGAGCAGTGGCGGTGGCAGCGGCGGTGGTGGCGGAGGGGGGAGTGGTGGTGGCAGCGGTGGTGGAGGCTGGGGTGAGATCGGCCTGACTGGGGGCTCCAGTGGTGGCCAGGGGCAGCAGCAGCAGCAGCAGCAGCCGCAACAGCAGCAGCAGCAGCGTCAGCGCTAGACCCCCACTTCTCAGCAGCTTTATGATGTTGGTGTAAGGGCCTAATAAACTAAATCTATTAAAACTTAATCAAACTTAATATCTCTCCTCGAGGTCACCTCCAAGGGTCCTTGGGTGCCTGGTACAAGACCAGCCCCTATCATCGGGTCCGAGTTTGTAGAGAGAGGAACCAAGAATGACTTAGCTAAAATAAAAAGAGTACCTTGAACGTCGCGCAGCGTATCGTGCAGACCGTCGATCGGATTAAGCTGAGAACTTGCTATATCGAAGCTCGCTCCAAGAGCTTCAAAATAAGCCAAGTTGCCTCGCAAAAAGTTCTGCCATTACGAAGTTATGGCTCGGACAGCATTTGCCTAGCGTTGGAGTGCTAGCGTACTAGCGTTGACTCGGGTAGCATTCCGCCGTCGAACCGCGTAGACACGAAATTCCAGCAAGAAAGGAATCCGCAATTTGACTATATTCAGGTACAAACAGAGAAGGAATAAATAGTTCTAGCTAGCAAGAACCTTGGGAATCAACCTGGGAACAACCAGGGATGATCCCAAATAATTCCAAGCAACAGAACCAATCTGGCTGGACAAAATAGCAGGTGGTAGGTTGGTAAAACAACCTCTGGTTCTGTTTTTCCAACCTGGGAAAACAACAACCAGGTTCAGGTTCTAAAAACAGAACCTGTTTTGTCTTTTCCCAACCAGCCAAATGCTGGTTCCGCTGGTTTCCCCTGGCCTTGTAGCATGCAGATACAGACAAACAACATCCAACCTTCACCTAAATTGTACCCCTATAGTGCCTGCCCTGCTACAATAAAGTAAACCAAACAATACAGTACAATTTCGAGTTGGATAGAACTGAATCTGCGCTATTAATTTAACCGAACTGCAAAGCTTCCATCTTGGGTTCCTTTGCGAGCTCGTCCTTTCTGCTTGCACTGTTCATAGTGCGTACAATGTTGTGCCGAAGCGCACATTGCACGAGTACCTGCAAATGCTTCAAGCGAAAATTGCGAAAGCAAACAAACACACGAACACACCATTCACACGCAAATGCATTCGCACACGCATACTCGTACAAACAGACGGCATGATGTCGTGCAATGCGAATTTGCACCCAACACATGACTGGTATGCCGGGCGTGGGGCGTCTGGGGGTCCTGGTCGCTGCCCCTATGCCATTCGCGCAGGTCCCCGTGCTGGTCGCCCATGCAACCGCTTGCACAATGAGTACCGCTGCTTCGCTCGGCTTAGCGACGCCTGGCGCGCCAAGTTTCCTGATGCTACTGAGTTCCCCAACTGGGCAGACCTGCTTAGGCGTGATGTTCCTATCTTTGATCTTGACTATGATGCTATTCTTGCTGCCATGTATGCATTGATTGTTAGTGCTGAGGGTGACTGCTACTTGTGTGTGCCGCCAGACCCCGGTATAGACCCAGGTATAGCGCCTGCAGCCCTAGGTGCTAGTGAGTCTGCTCTCTCTGGTACTGCGCTTGCTGAGGCCTTGCACACCTTCACACTTGACTCTGGTGCTTCCCGCTGTTTCTTTCGCGACAGCACCACAGTCACACCCCTCCCTGCACCTGTCCCTGTCTCACTGGCTGACCCCTCTGGGGGCCTAGTGCTTGCACGGTCCACTACTGTGCTTCCGTGCCCGGCGGTCCCGTCTGGTGAGCTGTCTGGTCTCCATCTCCCCTCGTTCTCTACGAACTTGGTGAGCAACACCATCCTTCAGGATCATTGGGTTAACACCTTTACTCCTGGAGAACAGCGTGTGGCGATCTGCACGTGCTCCAAGACCGGCCGCCACCTGGCCACGTTCACACGTGAGCCTGGGTCCAGTCTGTACACCCTCACCACTGTGTCGCGCTACACCCCTTTGTCTCCTCAGCTGTACGCGTCTGCTCAGGTAGCTACCCAGTGTGAGTGACGCCGCCTGTCCCACAACACCCTCCTGTGGCACCACCGCCTTGGTCACCCCTCCCTGCCTCGCCTTCGTGGCATGCACTCTCGCTCCCTGGTCTCTGGTCTTCCCAGGTCTCTGCCTGCCCTCCCTCCCTCGCCTGCGCTGCCCTGCATTCCTTGCGTCGAGGGGCGGCAGCGCGCCGCTCCTCACTCCTCCTCGTTCCCTCCCACAGAGGCTCCGCTGCAGACTCTCCACCTGGACGTGTGGGGCCCAGCCCGCGTCCAGGGGCAGGGCCGCGAGCAGTACTTCCTGCTGGTTGTCGACGACTACACGCGTTACACCACGGTCTTCCCCTTGCAGCGCAAGGGGGACGTCCCTGATGTTTTGATCCCTTGGATCCGCGCTGTTCGTCTCCAGCTCCGCGAGCGGTTCCAGTCGGACTTTCCTGTCCTGCGTCTGCACTCTGATAGAGGTGGTGAGTTCACCTCCGACCAGCGAGCCTACTGTGCGGAGCACGGCATCCGCCAGTCGTTCACGCTTCCGGCCTCACCGCAGCAGAATGGGGTTGCTGAGCGCCGCATTGGCTTAGTCATGGAGGTCGCTCGTACCTCCATGATCCATGCGGCGACTCCCCATTTTCTGTGGCCGTTTGCGGTCCGGCACGCCGCGTATCAGCTCAACCTCTGGCCCCGTGTCTCCTTGCCGGAGACCTCGCCCACACTGCTGTGGACGGGGAAGGTTGGCGATGCGTCGCGATTCCGGGTCTGGGGTGCTCGTGCCTTTGTCCGCGATACCACCGCGGACAAGCTCTCCGCTCGCACCATTCCCTGCTTCTTCCTTGGTTTTCCTCTTGACGCGCCTGGCTGGCAGTTTTACGACCCCGCCTCGCGCCGTGTCTTTGCGTCTCAGGACGTCACCTTTGACGAGTCAGTCCCCTTTTACGGTCTCTTTCCCTACCGCACTACCCCTTGCCCCTGTTGGTGTAAGGGCCTAATAAACTCAAGCTATTAAGACTTAATCAAACTTAAAACCTCTCCTCGGGGTCACCTCCAAGGGTCCTTGGGTGCCTGGCACAAGACCAGCCTCTATCCTCGGGTCCGAGTTTGTAGAGAGAGGAGTCAAGAAAGACTTAGCCAAAATAACAAGAGTACCTTGAACGTCGCGCAGCGTGCCGTGCAGACCGTCGATCGGATTAAGCTGAGAATTTGCTATATCGAAGCTCGCTTCAAGAGCTTTAAAATAAGCCAAGTTGCCTCGTGAAAAGTTCTGCCATTACGAAGTTATGGCCCGGACAGCGTTTGCCTAGCGTTGGAGTGCTAGCGTACTAGCGTTGACTCGGGTAGCATTCCGCCGTCGAACCGCGTAGAAACGAAATTCCAGCGAGGAAGGAATTCGCATGAATCAATTGACTATGTTCAGGTACAAACAGAGAAGGAATAAATAGTTATAGCTAGCAAGGACCTTTGGAATCAACCTGGGAACAACCAGGGATGATCCCAAATAATTCCAAGCAACAGAACCAACCTGGCTGGACAAAACAGCAGGTGGTAGGTTGGAAAACAACCTCTGGTTCTGTTTTTCCAACTTGGGAAAACAACAACCAGGTTCAGGTTCTAAAAACAGAACCTGTTTTGTCTTTGCCCAGCCAGCCAAATGCTGGTTCTGCTGGTTTCAGACAAACAACATCCAACCTTCACCTAAATTGTACCCCTATAGTGCCTGCCTTGCTACACTATAGTCAACCAAACAAAATAGTACAATTTCGAGTTGGATAGAACTGAATCTGCGCAATCAACTCATCCGAACTGCAAAGCTTCCATCTTGGGTTCCTTTGCGAGCTCGTCCTTTCTGCTTGCACTGTTCATAACGCGTACAATGTTGTGCCGAAGCGCACATCGCGCGAGTACCTGCAAATGCTTCAAGCGAAAATTGCGAAAGCAAACAAACACACGAACACACCATTCACATGCAAATGCACTCGCACACGCATACTCGTACAAAACAGACGGCAGGATGTCGTGCAAAGTGAATTTGCACCCAACACACTCCCCCTCAGCCTGCCGGCTGCATTCCCATCATTCCATGCTAGTTCATGCTCATTCCACTCATGCGCACACAATGCCAATGAGGCTCATCCGCAAGCCTCTTGGTGAGAAAGTCTGCTGGCTGCTGGTGAGTCTTGATGTAAATCGGATTCACCGTCCCCCTCTTCACCTCCTTACGCAGCCAGTGCCACTTGATACGCATGTGCTTGTTCAGCCCATGAAGCACAGCGTTCCTGGCCATCCCAAGAGCCCCCTTGCTATCACAAAACAGCGGCGTAGCAACCTTCTGCTCCTGGCCAATCTCCTCTAACAGCCTCCTCAGCCAAATCACCTCCTTCACCCCATGGAACATTGCCATGTATTCTGATTCAACAGAGGAGAGTGCCATCTCCGTCTGCTTCTTGGACCTCCAACTAACAGGTCCTCCCCCAACTACGCAGATGTATCCTCCCACAGATGAGGAATCCTCCTTCTCAGAAGCCCATGTAGCATCGGTAAAGCCAGAAAAAGCTTGCCTTCTCCAAGCCGCTCCCCCTTCTCCTTCAGCACCTCAACCCCCTTCTGCTTCACCTGTGCAGATGCGGAGTATTGGACCCCAATGGTTGGGTGAGAGTTCAAATACTTCACCACGCGCTCAGCTGCATCCACCTGCTCCTCTGATGGATTCTGCACCACCCTGGCCAGCTGCCCAACCGAGAAAGAGATGTCGGGCCTCGTGTGAACAGCTGCATACAAGAGGCTGCCCACCAAGGACTGAAATTGCTGCTGCTCTTCAGCTTCAACCCCTTCATCCTCTGCAGCCTTCACCAGCTTCAACACCTTGCGCTCATTCTCAATCCCACACTTCTCCCCCAGCTCCTTGATGAACTTCTCCTAGTGCAGCTTCAACCACCTGTGATCCAGATCCCTCTCCACGTGCATCCCGAGGTAGTACTTTACCTCCCCAAGGTTCTTGCATTTGAAGTTCTCCATCAGCTGC